TCGCAGCTCAAGAATTCTCCGCTCGCTCTCCCAAGCAACCATTAATTTTGGCAATGGTGTGGTACCTCATATTGGTGGTCTGAGGCCTTGTGACTGAGGTGTCTGACAAACGGAATCATGGTGTCGTGTACTTGCCGACTGACTAGAGCAATGGGAGACTGGCATATTTCGAGATTTTTGAATAATGACCAGCTCAAGCAATGGACAGGTTAGCCCTCATGATAGGTCTACGGACCTCAGCGGCGGACTCCAGGAGAAAAGATAATGCCGATCCTGAACTTCTTTGAATCCACACCCGGCCGACAATGAACAGATCCTCGCGCTATTGACGGGACGACGTAATGGAGGCGCCGGACAGGGGCTATGGCGACCCACCGACAGCAGAACAACGACTATACGGATGGGGGACATAGAGTGCGGACGTACACGGTGGCCGTTGGATTTCCACGAGGCTCACCACCCTCGCCCATACAATATCTCTTTTAACCTGGAGCTTCTGCTGACAGGGACATACAAAAACGGATTAACTGAACGGTAAGCACGGCTCACGGAGGCCACGAGGTGCTGTTTGACGGGTTGCTTGGACATTGTCGTGCTAGATGGAGCAAAGAGAAAACATATGGTTTTAGACGACGTACACACAAGCAGGTATCTCTCTTCAATTACCATCCTTCAGGATTTGCCCATTTCAGTCCGCCGACCTGTCGTCCCTGAGACCGTCCTTGTCGGCTCTCGCATGAATCGACTCCGTGAGTCGCCAGCAACCGACGTTCGAATTAACCTTTGCTGTGACTGAGCGTGTAATACTATCCAGAAGCATGTCAAAGAGACGTTGGCCAACTGTTCACGTTGAGAATGGCACGCGCACCTTCGCCATGAGGAGCAAATTGTCTCAGGCTGACTCAGCGTGGGCAAACACAGCGTTCATGCCTGACTATTCATAGGCCCTGCGCTGTCGCGTAGATGCCCTCGGCTGGCTCTTGATTGGTGAGTCAATATCTTCCGCTGCGGGCTTAGAGCCGATATAACAAACCTGGATTAAGTGGCAAGCCTCTCAGGACCTCAAGAACCCCGAGACATTGTTGAGGATGATACTCAAGCACTGTTAGACCGATGTTTGAGGACCTTTAACCGTTTGGACCCCAGGGTTACTTATAATTGCAAAGTAGTTCCATTTCTAGGACTGCATAGGTGCGTGGAGTATCAGGTGGTAATATTTTTGGTGGTGTACATTTGGCCTCATTCCTAGGTATTTAGCAATTGATCTAGTCAGTTTGACGTCATTGGGACCAATACTTGCTTCATGTGAAGCAGATTGAACGCGGAATTTGTTTCTGGCCTAGCATGAAGTTGCTGTTCGAGGATAAAGAAGTGCCTGTCTGGGCTCCCGAACTCACATTCGCATCACCATCCAACCTGAAACTTACAGGCCCAAATAACTAGCAGCATTCCTGCCGTACATTTTTCACCACGTCAGGCTCGCCACGGGTATGGCGTCATGGCGGACCGACGGGCGACAGCCAGCTGGAACGGAGTGACATCCTCGCTGGGTCAGAACGGAGCTGGGGCTCATCAGCGGAGGGAGCTGAGAAGCTGAGAACGGCAGACGTCCCCTCCGGCGACAGCTTGGTCACTCGGACTAACTGCTCCCTAGCGCATCAGTCAAGTCGCCGGGTAAGCGACGGATCTCGGCTGGATGAAATTAGATATATTATTAGAAATCGGCCTGTGAACTTAGTAAAGTACCACAGCATTGATCAGGGTAAGACTACCTCCCTTGGTACGAATGTAACTTGCAAGACCAAAACCTTTGGGAGCAGCGAGAGTAGTCGGATTGGTGGCATATTTGGTCAAAATTACTAACTATTCCCCAGACGATATGATCAGTATGAGCTCTCATCGTCATCTACATCTACCCGTGTCCTAGAAAACGAGTGAAGAAGTGAAATCGCTGGTGATATCCTATACGGCGCAGCGCCCAATGCGTATAGCATACTCCATATCGGAGCTGAGGGCGCTCACCAGCTGGGAGGTATCCAATATTTCCGCCAATGGGTCTCAGTATCAGCTTCCTTGAACTTCTCAACCCCCCCCGCAACTCCATCCTCACCCACATCCCAATCTCCCTGTTCTACCCTTTCCGCCCAGCTCTGCAGCACCTTCCAGAGCTGCACGTCGCGAAGGTCCGTGAAACCCGTGAACCCAGACTGATAGAGCCCGAAGGACTGATCGGTAGGTATGGGGTGCTCGCTCTCAGGATTGATGCCCATCTGCTCGCCGTCTGATTTGCGGGCCCACCCGTGCGCCCCAAGTCCGTATGGGAGCACGAGGACACACCCGTCACTGAAAGCTGTGTTGGTTCTGGGCACGACCTCACTGAGGTAGAGCCCCGCGGGGACCGTGGAACTTTCATTTAGCGGTGTCCACGAAGGATACTGGCCGCCGAGCCCATCGATATGGAATATGCGGAAGGGCATGTCTTCCGGCTCGGACTGTGAGGACTGGTAGGGTTGCTGGTCGAGCTTGCGTGGGAGGTAAATACCAGGGGCAATGTACTTGATGGGAATTGACCAAGCCGCAGTTATAGTCAAGAATTGATACGCAAAGCTGGACGTAGGTAGGAAGTCCTGATCCAAGAGATCAAACCACTGGAGTCTTTTTTCTTCTTTCGGCGGTTTCTGCGCCGGTAGTCGAGTCTTAATCGCATCAAGAAGTCGCCTCATGGAGATTACGGATTTCTCCAGATCAGTGTCGGAAAATGCGCGGATCCTCCATGGGGAAAATGACTCAAGGATTTCGTATTCTTGAATTGCTTGACAGTCAAGAGCTGCAAAGATCTTTCCTTCATCAATCATTTCGAGATACGCATCCAGAATAACTTCGAGGGGTTTCCATCCCCAACCCCGTTCACACATTGCCGTTATATCTGCGAGATCGCCCACAAATGCAGCTGTTGATGTCGCTTGGTCAAAGCTCAAGAAGTATGAGCAGAATGCACGTCTATATATTTGTACATATGGATAACTCACAAGATGCCCTGCTGATCCCCTGCTTTATACGCGGTAGCGTAGTAAAGAAACACAAAGCGCTCATTATCTAGGTATGTTCCCCGCTCTGACACTGATAGAAGACCTTCACTGCTCACCAGACCAGCCACGAAATAGAGGAAAGAATAATCAGGATTTTCTTCATATGGTAAGAAGCGTGCTTGCTTGAGGAAGGCTACCAAGGACGGCGATAGTCGGTTTCGAGTGGCCTCGGGAGGTGCATTGTAATCCCACCATGTCCGGGAAGGGAGCTCATCAGCTCGTCTGCCACTGCCCACCCATCCTCTATACAGAATCTCATTGTGTAGAGCTGAACATCGTTCGTGGTCCATGCCGTCCAGGTTGCGAACTGGATTCGCCGCAGAGATCCGGTGACTGGATCTTGTCTGGAACATGAAGAGAATATAAAAACTGATCAGGAGCCCTGCTAGAATATTGCGTATATCAAAAGTTTGTCTCTTATGTATGCCACGGCTGGAGATCTCTGGCGCTGAATTGGACGATGGTAGGAATCAGCCATCCATTGACGCTGCGGGGAGAATTTCAGTTTCAAACTCCTCCACTGTCCGACCGCCACGTACCCAACGACACTAAGCCGCGATAGATGTAGCAGGCACCGTTTAAATCATTTAATTCTTTTTACAAGCCAGAAAACCCAAATATTTCTACTGCTCAATTTCCAACCAGCTTCAGCCCAATTACCTAGTCCTCCTCGCTAAACATTCCACAAATGGTCAATTCTTCTATCAACCTCCCGATCTGCCTCGTAATAGACTTGAGCAGCCCTGCTCCATCCATCTTGAACAGCCGTACTACTGTAGAAGTCCACCACTAGATTGATTCGACGGCTCAGTAGTTGGTAAACCATTGTTAGAGTGAGATCTAATCAACGTCGCCATTTATACTCTGACACAGTACAAGTAAGGTCTAAGTTACAATTCGGGCCCACAAGTTTTCACCCCAACGCGTCTCATTCACATAGTGGTGAGAGAGGTTAACCTTCGTTTTCTCCCTAAGTTTCCCGTATAGTACTACATAAACAATTTTTAAGGTCCATAGGTCCTGAGAGCTCGCAAATACTCTGTCCACTGTTGTATAGTGTTCAGGATGACCATCACCCTGCGTAGTTCAGGCACAAGGTCAAGATGTGCAAGCACCGGAATAGCATTTTCCTTGACCACAATACTCTTCGGTGCTCCCACAGTACCCCGACGCAGAGCAGCAGTTGCCAAATTGCGTCCCAGTGCAGGTCTTGTTGCCAGCAAAACTCGGTCCACACTCACCGTTGATGCTGGGTCCACCGTTATCATCCTCACAACTTCCCGAGTAACACTTCCCGGGCCCACAGAAGTCCGATCCTTCCCCACAGTATCCATATATAGAGCAGCACCTGGAGTGTCGGTTATGTTGGGAGCCCGGGGTCGGACAGCACTCTGTCTAGGGCTTCCTGGCGGTCTTGTAGTTGGATTCCGGGGTTGGAGAGGAGGGATTGGACGAGGAATGCCATTGTAATTGTATATTCACTTTTATGTAGTTAGCAAGGGTTGTTTGAAGAGATTGGAGTCATTAGGTGGAAAGGAAGGGTGGGTATAAGTGTCCCAGTCGAATCTAATCACTAACATTTCGTGGGATGGTAGTATGACTCTAAGAGACCTCCGATAACAAAGAATCTCATTCTAATATGGAAGGTCTATGCGGAACAAAGTGTCACAAAGTAAGCACTGCGATCTAAGTTCGTGCTTGCTGGAGCCCGCGGGGCCCAGGCTATCAATACGCGATCGCTTAGATGGAGTTGGGGTCAACCTGCCTTTTCGGGCAACGGCTCTCTATGAAATTAACGGACAGATAAGGCCGGGATATCTCATAATGTAGATGCCGACTCTTATCATAGATAAAGAGGCAATACTAACTTCATCACTTACTGGCAACATCATCCAACACCGTGCAGGAATCATGGCCGCCACAAACAATGACTCCCCAGGAAATGCCTACTACCCAAATAGCCCCCCAATGCGAAGGCCAGGCCTGAAATTCCTTTACCGCCTCGAGTGCACCATCGCCTCGGAAGAAATCAATATCGGTGCCCCCAACGGAACGGGCGTATTTCGGAGCATCGCGAACATAACAGGCGGTACATTCAAGGGGCCGAACCTTGAAGGAACCGTTCTTCCTCTGGGTGGTGCAGACTGGGCGACTGTTATCGAGGGCACGCATGTATGTAGCCTTTCCCAATCCATTCCCCGGCCCTATCGATATAGAGACCTTGCCACTAACAACATCACAGTCCATGACCCTCGACGCACGGTACACCATCAAGACAGTCGACGACCACTATCTCTTCGTGCAAGCGCACGGTCTCTACCGCCCCGGACCGGGAACACAATATGCCAAACAGGTAGCCGAGAACCCAGCCATGAGACCACCGCCGACAGTTACACAAGATGACGTCGAGTTCTTCTCACATCTGCGGATCGAGACTGCGGGGAAGTATAACTGGTTGAATGGGCTGGTTTGTGTTGGGTTGATGGGTTGCGAGGATGATCGTATCATTATCGATGCGTATTATTTGACGAATTTTGTTGGTTTGAGGCCGGAAGATGTTATGATGAGACGGGAGAATTCATAGATACAACCCGAGGCACGTAGAATCTCTGCTTCTGTCTTACGGTGTCGTATTTACCGTGATATGAGCCGTGTTCTCATCACTTGTCCCGTTTAGGAAGGTCGACGCATTCTCCTATCTGAAACTGGTAGATAGATTACCCCGTTGGTTTCTCAGTGCTATCTATGCTGTACCCCGCATAGACTCGCATGTGTAAATGCCTGTACTCATTATTAGCGCCACAGCTGTTTAAGACAGTCGAGCCATGCCCTTATCATTATATCCAGAGAAGGAAAATGACCATATCCCCATCCCCCAAGACTGACTGGCAGGCCCTTGTCGCAGCAAAACGCAAACACCTAGACGCCCAAATCCCATCGGAATGGCGCCTCAGCGACGACTTCCGAGCCTCAGTCCCCGCCAATGGCCATCTAATCGAGGTTGACATTGCTCGCCGAAGCGGCATTCTCTCTGATAAAGAGCTAGACATCACGGAGAACTTCTCCGCGGTGGAATTATTAGAGAACCTTGCCGAGAGAGAGTTTAGTTCAGTAGATGTCACGACGGCCTTCTGCAAAAGGGCGGCAATTGCGCAGCAGCTGGTAAGTGGCTTCTGCATCCATGGAGAGGTTCCCTCCATTATACAATGAGATACCGGCGACTGATTACGATAGACTTCATGTTTAACGGAACATTTCTTTATCAAAGCCATCGAGCGTGCGCAGTTCTTAGATGAATACCTGCAAAGAGAGAAGAAGGTAATAGGTCCGCTTCACGGCCTTCCCATCAGCATCAAAGACAGTTTCTGCCTAGAGGGGATCCAGAGCACTCTTGGATATGTCTCGTTTCTTCAGAACGAGCCGGTGTGGCATAAATCAACCCTGGTCGAGATCCTACTCGACCTTGGGGCAGTACTTTATGTGAAAACGAATATCCCTCAGACAATGATGGTTGGTTGCCGTCCCTTGCATAACTGGGTTCAATGACTGACACAACACAGACAGGTGATTCCGAAAACAACATCTTCGGCCGGACCTTAAATCCGCATAACACGAGTCTAACAGCCGGAGGATCAAGCGGCGGCGAGGGAGCACTGGTCGCCTTCCGCGGTTCGATCCTGGGCGTAGGAACCGACATCGCAGGGTCGATCCGCATTCCTTCTCTCTGCTGCGGTGTGTATGGCTTCAAGCCTACAACCGACCGCATTCCCTGGGGCGGCCAGGTAGCAGGTCTAGCCATGGAAGGGATTCCAGGACTCAAACCATCCGCAGGGCCTCTGGGGCATAGCCTCGCAGATATCGAGCTCTTCATGTCGATGGTGCTTAAGGCTGAACCTTGGAAGTACGATGTCACTGCGAGTGCATCACCGTGGCAGGAGCTGCCACTAACACCTGAGTACGGCTCTCAAGACAAGTTAACCATAGGCATCCTCCCTGAGAGCAAGGACTTCCCACTACATCCTCCTGTGCGGAGAGCTCTAGAGTCCGCCATCAAATCTTTATCCCAGCACGGTCACCATATAGTCCGACTCCCAGATGACTCCTCGCGAGACATCGCCTACGCAAGCCGCCTAGCATTCCAATACTTCATCTACGGACCGCACATCGACCACATCGCGTCTAGCGGGGAGCCGCTCGTAACATCGGTGGCTAAAATGTCGTCGCCGATGTTCACGGGCCCGTTTCCTGTTGATATGGAGCTCCCGCCGTTTGAAAAGATCAATGCGCTACATACGGCGAGAGAGGAGTATGCTGATGCATGGCGCAGGTGCTGGGTTGGGAACGGGCTGGATGTTGTCCTTGCGCCTGGGGCGCAGAATACGGCGGTTCCGCATGATACATTTGGGTGGCCTCCTTATACGGTTATTTGGAATTTACTGGATGTAAGAAGTCCGTGTACAGATTCCTGGATGCTATGAGCTGACTACGATATCGTATAGTATCCTGCGTGTATCATCCCCTACGGCGAAGCTTCCAAGGAACTTGATCCTGTCCCCATGGTTATTGACGATGGCGTCCAGCCTAGCTGTGAGTTTACACCATGAATATCTACTTCATAGAAGGTAGACTTGCTGATTAGGACAGATGACCCCGATGCTGTTGACGGAGCTCCCTCTGCCATCCAGGTAGTAGCTCCACGCTTCCAGGATGAAAAGTGCCTCCATGCCGCGCGGATTATAGACGTGGCTATTCGATAAGTACATTTGTGTATTAGCTGGCGCTCGTAGATTTACTTTTCATATCTACCTATATAGGAGGAGTAATGAGCAATAATCCTACTAGATGATATGATCTTCGCAGCCATAGGCTCAGTGGAATTAGTGAATACCGAAGTAGACCTTTCCTCAATCCGGAAGTGCCATGAAACATTGAACATATTGCACATTCCAGATCTTCGAGGTATTACCAAAAAGAAGATTTTTAGACTATAATCTCTAGCTTTCAATTAATGTTCCTTTATGTTTTCTATTGAAAGATATCTAATCTTGAGTATATGAATAGCAGTGGGTATAATAGATCTAGAACTCCATTCCACCCTTATGATGCTTCAGCACCACCCGCGATGTATTATAGAATGTTGCACCTATGCTGGTAAGAACCAACAGCACAGCATAGGCAGACCTTAGCTTCCTTACTAATAAGTGATATACTCTAGCAAGTACTAGTCCTCAGCACTGTGTAGAGGTGCCTGCCTATAGGGCTGGGTGGGTTGGGTATGGGTTTGCGGGTTGGGTCAGCCAGTCTAATAGGATTAGAGCCTTTCGATTATATAAGAATAGGGGGTAGGCTAGTTGCTGCCCTCGGCTTAAAAATCTCCTTGTCAAATTCTCGCTCAATATGAATGCGATATTACTATATAACCAAAAATGCTGTTTTATATACCCAACTTGTAACGAAACAGTTTGGTACTTCCACATCTGGCTTAATCTTGATTCACGTACGGCTCACTTCCGAAACTGTCGAAAAAAAGAATCACAACAATACCTAGCTTCGTCTCTTTATCCTAATTCGCGCCCCAGAAGGCGGCACCAGCGCCTCAGCCATCCACCGATTCGCAGGTCTCTGTCCCTTATACTCGGCCGGAAACTCGATGTCATAATTCATCAGAAGATAGGCAACAATCATCTTGACCTCGAAGTCTACCAGGAACCTACCCGGACACGAATGGCCTCCATGCCCAAAGGGCAGATGCTCCGGCGAAGTCGACACAAAGCTCAGATGACTCGCGCTAGACCTGCCTTTCGTGTCTCTGGGCGCCTGCTCGCGGATCCGAGAGAACCGGAAGGGATCGTACTCGAAAGGATCTTCGAAAGCTTCGGGATCACATTGGAGCGGACGACCCAGGAAGGAGACGTATGCGCCTTTGGGCAGCTCGATTCCATCTTCTGTTTTGACGCCCTCGACTAGGACCTTGCGGAAGACCCCCCGGTTGGTGTTTGAATATAACCGCATGGTTTCACGCGCCACACTGTCGGATTTGATCATCTGCGCGACTTTGTATTTGGTCCATTTGGTGTCGCTGTCGGGGCCGATGACATCGTTCACTTCGTCTCGGAGGACGGAGATGGTATTGTATTGCGAGTCTGAGCTGACGATGTTAAGGATCATATTTGTTACAAGCAGGGTTGTCTGATGCACGGCTGCGAAGTTGGCAAAACACAGCCGTCTGGACATGCTGGGGAGGTCGTGCAGTTCGCCTGGTCGTTCTCTCTGGGCGTAACAGAGCATTTGCTGGAAGAGATCCTGCGGTTCTTCGCTGGCGGGCTTTTCCGCACTGTTTTGCTGGCTCAGTGCCTGCACCCGCTGGTGGTAGATAGGCTCTACTTGTTTCTTGACCTGTTCGATGCTCCGACGGAGTTTCATCGTGATTAACGGGCCAACAATTGGGCGCAGAAGACGCGGAGTCGCGCCGGTCAGACCGCCGTTCATCACTATCCCATCATTGACTTTCCAGCAGGCTCGAAGGTACGCTTCGTTGCGGCCTGTGCTCTCCAGTTAGAAAGAGATACTTCAGTAAGAAAGGAGAAACGTACAGAGCGGAAATCCGACGGTAAATCGACTCGCTGCGGCCATAATGACCGTTCGAATTGTCTCCAACAAATCGACTTCTTTCCATGACTCGGTGTCACATCCAATGTATTTATCAAATACATACTTCAGTTCCTCGTTCATACCATCGCAAACTGCCTCCAGCTTGGAATTGATATCCGACTTGACAAGCATACAAGGCCAGGGATCGGCTTTGTATTTTTCATGGCCAAGTGCGTACTTCAGCTGAACAAGTTCCAGGACCGCGTCGGCGTGACTGAGTTCAGTTTCGGGACGGGCCATGATATCCCGCATTGCGCTTTGAGGCAAGACGATGTCGTTGCGAAATCCAAGACCCGGGAGAAGGACTGTCTTGCCACTTTTGGTGTACTTGACTTAGGTCAGTATCACTGTCAACAGTGGTGTAAAAGAACGCACGTTCTCATATGTTTCTCTGTATAGAGCCTCGCAGTCGGTATAGTACCTCCATCTCGTTCGCCAGCTGAACGTTCTTTTCCCTTCAGGCTCACCAGCTAGTGGGAGGTTGGCAGGATATTTGATGGCAAAGAATGCTCGATAGATAAGCAAAGCGCATCCTACTAGCGCAGGAAGCATCAGTGAAGCCCATGCCTCATATCCTCCGGCAAAGGACTGGGAGAAAGTAGAAGCTCCCATAGTCTTTCTTTGAAGGGGGACTGTCGGTGCCGCTTGTATTGAATCCTACTTTGTTCAGATACTGAACTTCGAGTATAATGAAAGTCTTTGGGTACTCGTATGAGGGTAGTGACTGGGATGATTAGCCACATAATACCGAACTAGACCTAATATATCTAACCGCAAGCTGGCTTTTGCTGAAAAGAATATCATTGATAATCATTTCTGGTATCCTCCGACCAAATCCTAGCCGATAACGGCGTCGGTGACGGATGTATGACCGGGCCTGGCAGTAATCCACTCCCATGCATGACAAGGCTTCATCCAATAATACTGTGTGTCAATGAAATGACAATGTCGGCAGAGTAGGTCGGTTCTCTAATTACTACTAAGTCCTAATCGAGATAAAATCCTGCGTGCTGTTCTAGTTCCTTCCTAGCCACGAGAATGAGAACATAGAATTGGATGTTTTACATTCTTTGCTCCAGAGTGATCAATGAAGCTACCTGTTGCCATCAACTGCGATCGTATCCACTCATTTCGGAGTATATGAAATGCTTATCTACGCCAATGTAAGCAACAAGTCTTGGTGCCTAAAACAAAAGTACGTGCATACTCCGACTATCTAGATCCTACGACCCACCAACCCACATACTTAGCCCATGCTTAGCGCTTACTATTTGCACAGACCCGTAACTTGTGCCTTGACTGCACCGTCACCTTCCTTGGGAAAGGCGAAGCCCCGTGTATGGTATACAGCAATATCTTTCTCAGTCGTTTCAAATAGCTCCATATCCAAGGATGTTGCAACCCTTGCAATACCGAGGTAGAGTTTTGCATATGCCAGGCTAGAGATAAAGAATTAGCAATAGTACCACACTGGTTGGGTTGCGGTTATGGAAAATCATACTTGATACCGAGACATCCCCTGCTGCCCTTGCTGAAGCTGACCATGTATTTGTCGAGGCTGACGCCGTCTTGTGCAGCCTTGACCCAACGCTCGGGATCGAATGCTTGAGGATTTGGGAATATGGAAGCGTCGTTGTTGACCAGATAGGTTGACTGGCTGACCGGTGTCTACTTTGGTGTTAATGGAGGGCCCGTGGGAATGATGGGTGGGACCCCAAGCTTACTCCTGGTGGAATTACGAAACCGTTGTACTGCAGAGCTTCGTGTGGGGAGATTCTTGGAATGCGCACGACTAAACCGTACGCAAGGCGAATCGCTTCCTGGACGACGCCTCTCTGTAACACGCGTCAGTAAGTTATCGGCAGATGAATCATGGAAATCGCACCATATATGGCACGGCCTCAAGCTCTGTCGTGGTCCATTGTTGACCATCCGACTTTGCAATAGCCTGCAATTCTTTCCGCAGCTTCATCAGCACATCCTTATTATTGAGTAGGTGGAACAGGGCGACGGCGAGTGTCCTAGCGGTGGTGTCAATCCCGGCAAAAATGATGGTTTCACCCTCATCTAACAGACGATCCAGTGTTTTCTCCGCGTCGGGGACATTGGGATCCGTCAGTGCGCTCACAATGACAGACTTGGATCTCGCGTCTTTCATGGCGTTTTTCTCTTCATCAGGCTTGTTGAGGTAGTTCAAAACCATCTTTTTGTTAGCCTCCCGCGCCGACACGACCTCAGGGAAGTTCGGGTTAATCAACCCGAGGATTGGCAACGGGAGGTTCTTGAGTGTAGTTGCGGGGACTGGCAGGAAGCGCGTGAGGTTGTACAGATTCAACAACACAGTCAGTGCATCCTTGAGTCCGTACTTGAAGTCCTTGCTTCCAATGTAGTTTGCATGGGACCCATAGAAGTGGTAGGTGACAACATCCGCAGTGAAGGCAGAAAAGGCACACGTCAGGTCAACGGTGCTTCCCTTTGCTTCTGCAAGACGCGAGATCAATGCATCCAGACGCTCGTGAATGACCGGCTCGATGTCCGCAATGGCCCTTTTAGAAAAATACGGATTCACAATGGCGCGACGTTTGCGATGGAGGTCGTGGTCGAGAGTGGAGATGGTGGAATGTGGGAATGTGTACCCAGACACGGCTGACAGTTCTTTGTTAACCTTGCGGCCACTTCCAGCGTAGATGGTGCTAAAGTATTCCGGATCGTGGATATGCAAAGATCTTGAGTTGATGCGAACAATCGGCCCTTTGGGAGTGGTCAGCGTGTCTTGGATTCTGGATGCTTTGAAATGGCCACTGTACCGTATTTGTGGTGCATCTTCTCAATTTCCCAGAGATAAGTGCCATCTCTAATGACATCGTAGTAAAACTCGTAGAAAGACCATATGGCTGCCCGTTTGGGGCCGGGGAAGTTGCGCAACGGATGAAAAAACAGATCGTAGATACATCCGGCGACTACAGATATAGCAAACACACCAAATGCTGCACCGATGACCGCTGGAAAGGAGAGGTCTTGGAATAGCATGATCACGACTTCAGGCCGTCCGAGGTGATGAGAAAGAGGTGGACAAATGCGAATATCGAGTTGCGGGGAGTTGGGAAAAGGAAGTTTGTCTGGCCTACGAGGAGACCTTTACATGTGACATAAAGGTCCTTGGTCCTTGGCCTCTCCGAAGGCCTGCAGAGTAGATACAGGTGGAACTATGACTCCGGCTCATGCATATGGCTAACCTGCATTTGGCCCCAATTGTTATAACCAGCTTTTCATTCTTGGACAACGCCGTTGTATCTTTACACCATCGCGATGCAGCCCATTAATTTCTTACTTGCGTCCGTTGGTGGGGCCTACTACGTAGTTTAGCTCATGTACCTATTCATGTCCGCTCAGTTGAGTCCGATGTTCGGCATCCGGCTGGAAGACAGGGCGCCAGGGGGTTCATCCTGCTAGTATGTTGGAGTACCATCAAGCCGAGAATGATCCATCTCGCGTTTCGCTTCTCGCGTCATCCACCTCGTCGACTACGGCGTGGACATGTGGGGCGGTAATGTTGATACACTGGAGCGTGGATGGACGGAATTGTTGCCGTCAAACAGTCTCACCTTCCCCTCGTCCATCTCGTGGGAAAGAATGGACCAGATGGTCATATCGCGCTAAAGGATTGGAGTAGAGCACAAAAGGGCGCCGGTCAGCTCCCCAAGTCTCCTGTTCATCTGATAAATGATGTTTCCAAGGTACTTAAGCAGCCTCAATCCCAGCCTCTCGAAGACATCAACGAGCATCTCAAGTTTCTTTGAATTGCCTCCATCATGGACATGAATACCTTCCCCGCCAACACGTACTGCGAATCCATTGTGCGCTTCCTTGATGCCATTGAGTACCATGATGACAACCTGACACACGAGGAGCGGGTTGAAGGCCTCCGTCATGTTCATTCCAAGACTGCACAATACTTTACCGAGCCTCTTCCGAGGAGTATCCTCAAAGGGGTGGCTCCCCGCCGAATTGCTGCTGTCACTCGGACAATTTCCCATTTTATTGTCTATTGTTGGAGCAAGCTACCTCGGGAAGCCCAAGTAGACGTCTCCATATATTTGTCCATCATTAACGTTCTGGACGACGAGATCAGCAGCGAACCCAGTACCCAGATGATTGCCTTCTGGACAGACCTTATCCAGGGCAAGCAACCGAAACACCCCTTCTGGGTGCTGTTCAATGCACATCTGCCCCGTCTCCTCCGACACTACGGCAGCTTCTGTGCCTTCAACATCATGCGCTGCACTTTTGATTACTTCGAAGGCTGTTGGATCGAGCAGCACAATTTCCAGGGCTATCCTGGCGCCGACCACTACCCACTTTTCCTCCGACGATTGAACTGCCTCGGTGGTGCTGTCGCGGGGACCATCTTCCCCGCTTCCAAGTTCGATGAGCAGAGGCTCTTTGCAGAGATGTCTTGCGTGATGGCGCAAATCGACGGACCCGTGGCCCTTATGAATGATCTTTTCTCTTTCTACAAGGAATATGATCAGGACGAGGCCAATCTGGTGACCAACTGGTGCACTGTGGACGGAATCACGATGGAGCAGGCCCTTCAACGTCTCACCGACGATACAATCCATGCTTGCGTACGGATTTTGGAAATCTTGAAGGACAAAGACCCGGACATGCTGGCCACCATCCGCGGGTTTATCCACGGGTATGCGACATGGCACATCTGCGACTTCAGATACAGACTGCGGGAGATCTATGACCGCGAAGATCTGCAAGGCTCAGGTGCCAGGTTCCGCGAGTACTTTGACAAGGCAATCGATGTGGGCTGGGTGGATGTTGAAGAGTGGACTTGCCAAGTTCAGGGCTTTGAGGTCGATGGGCCTAACCCTACGGGATCTGAAATACAGGCATATCCGACCAACGCATTTGCATTTTCCGTCGATACACTTCGGCACCACAACATGGATTACGTGGGGAGTTCAATACTTGGTCTGTTTGAATGGGTTACGCGTTATCTGCGGGGGAAACTCCCGCAAGGTAACGCGAAGGGAAGGTGATGGATGACATGCATGATTACGATATATATGGCTAGCGATCCTTTTAGTTTTAGAAGATATATTTGGCCATTTTCTCTTTTTGGATAGTCGAGAACAGCCCAAATAGAATTCGGATAGTCGAGGTTCAACAACACTTACCGACGTATAGAGTCCGACGCCTGGCCAACAAGTGAAGATCTAGATCCCGATTCCCTTCTCAGGCTACCGACCTCGTTGCAAGCTGCGTTCACTAATCCTGATCCTCGACTTACAGCGTATTGCGGGTCAAATTGATATACTCTAGTGCTTATTCAGATTATAGCTCTGGTACTATTCAGGATCCAAGTGGGACTGTTCCTACGGATGCGGATGTCATTCCGCAATCCGTACCAATGGCAGCGAAGGAGTAGACAGTGAATATTCTGTTGATATTGATAGTAGGTATGTCGGTCACCGTAGGGCTAGCCGGTAGCGGATAGATTAGGTCCGTTCTCGCCCCCAAATACAGGGGTAGATACCACCCTACTCTGTACATTGGTTTGATGTCTCACTTTAGGCTGAATCAGAGCGGATCATAGCTCGCATCTCCGACGGGGAGTCGGTATCGGAGAGCGAGTTGTCCGAACAATAAGCAAGTGATCGCCAAATAACATCAAATCACGCAGCGGAGAAAGTTTACCTCGCCGGCAGAGCTTGACTGATGCAGATGGGATCCTTCCGACACAACTCCACCTTTCTAGCCGCACCTTGGTCGTTGATAGTCTCCACTGAAACATCGGACGCAACAGAGGGTGATACCAAAATCTACTCCTTCGCTGCCCCTCAATTTGGACCGGTCTGGGCTGGATCCCTATCAATTTAGCTATGTACTGCCTCAGAAGTGCAAGTCACAGGCACGTAGTCGGTAATACGGAAAATGGATACTCAGGATATACCTGCCTCATCGGAGTAGACTAAGTAGGTACAATTCAACGGAAGCGATCCGGTGGTATGTGTTGACGGTGGTCAGCGACGACCACAGGCAGCCCTCCATTCACTGGCCAGAGAAAGAAGGCCGCGAAATGCCCATGTGTTGACCAATTCCCAAGTCTACATGCAGCTGGGCCTTTGCTCTCATTCGGTTCCTTGTTGTCTTATGAGCTCTAGAGTAGAAAATCTTGATGGCAATCAACGCAAGTACTACCTATCCAGGCTGGTAATATCATCATGTAGAGTTGCTCCTACAGGGCTAAGGGGATATGGTAAGTTAACCTATGATGGAAGCTGAAGATATGTATACTTGGACTTTAGTTCTCATCTACCTGCTGTCTTCGTACATTTGGACGGGATACCTAGATCGGGCCGTCTGTGACACAACCATGGCTGGCATCGCTGACCAGCGTGCAATACTTCTTCAAAGTTCCCTTCTGGTATCGGAGCGGGGGTGCTTTCCACTCCTTCCTCCTCTTCTCGAGCTCTTCAATCGGGATATCCAGATCAACCACTCTTTCCTCAGCATCAATCACGATCCGATCACCGTCTCGTGCTAACGCGATCGGGCCACCCTCCATGGCTTCCGGCACAATATGTCCGATCAAGAATCCGTGACTGCCACCTGAGAATCTCCCGTCCGTGAGAAGTGCAACGTCCTGGCCAAGACCAGCACCCATAATGGCCGCGCTGGGCTTGAGCATCTCAGGCATTCCTGGGCCACCCTTGGGACCTTCATACCGAATAATCACGACTGTTTTGTCGCCCTTCTTGATCTCGCCCCGCTCAAGGGACTCAATGAATGCATCTTCGTAGTCATAGCACTTAGCTGTGCCCTCAAACCGCAGACCCTCCTTTCCAGTAATCTTCCCAACAGAACCGCCCGGGGCCAGCGATCCGCGAAGAATCTGGAGATGACCAGATGGTTTAATAGGGTTGCTGAGGGGGCGAATGATATCCTGGTTAGCAGGGAAGTCAGGCCATGAGGCTACATTCTCCTTCATTGTTTTGCCAGTGACAGTAATTCCTGAGCCATCGATCAAGCCCTCCTTTAGGAGATATTTAAGGAGGGCTGGTGTGCCACCGATGTTGTATAGGTCATTCATAAGGTATTTTCCAGATGGCTTCAAATCAGCTAGGAATGGTGTCTTGTCAGACACTGTCTGGAAGTCATCAATAGTCAACTTGATACCAACAGAGTCAGCAATAGCAATCAGATGTAGAACAGCATTAGTGCTGCCACCCAGCACGTTCACCACAATCATTGCATTCTCAAAAGCTTGACGTGTCAAGACATCCCTGGGCTTGATATCTTCCCTGAGCATAGTCTTAACCACCTCCCCGATGTTTTCGCACTCAACAAGCTTCTTAGGATCGTCTGCCGGGCAACTACTGCTACCGGGAACGGTCATACCCATAGTCTCAATGGCTGTGGCCAGCGTATTAGCTGTGTACATGCCACCGCAGGCACCTCTGCCGGGGCATGCATTGCGAATTATATCAAACCGTTCCTTCTCATCGATCTGGCCGGTGATGAACTGTCCATATGACTGGAATGCACTGACCAGGTCTAACTTTTGGCCCTTTGCACTGCATCCGGGTTTGATACTGCCGCCATAGACCATGATACTAGGCCGATTCGTGCGTCCCATTGCCATTAACACACCTGGCATATTCTTATCGCAACCTGGGAGCGACACATTCGCATCATACCACTGGGCATTCATCACTGTCTCAATGCCATCAGCGATCAGCTCCCGACTCTGTAGGCTGTATCTCATTCCCTTTGTGCCCATACTGATCCCATCCGACACTCCAACCGAGTTGAATCGCATAGGAACCAGACCCGCCCGAAGCACGGAATCACGCACAATCGCAGACAGGTCATGCAAGTGCATGTTACATGGGTTACCCTCGAACCACACCGAGGAGATACCGACCTGCGGCTTGGACATGTCTTCCTCTGTCAGGCCGGTGGCGTAGAGCATTGCTTGTGAGGCACCCTGGGATTTGGGTTGTGTGATTTTCGAG